CTTTCCAGACTTTTTTCTCTTGTTCTGTTCTTTATGAAAGAAGAGAAGAATACATTTTTTTAATTCGATCCAGTTCAGAAAACCCTGTTTCTTTTTTCATGAACACATTCTAAACTTGTTTGATGTCCACTCCTTTTTTTTTAACCTACCTCAGGATAGCATTAAAAGCTTGGCTTTTAATAACTACAGTTTAAGAATAAAACCAGATCTGAAGCCAGGATTTGATCTTGGCTAGTTCTTGCTATTTATAATGAAAGATGCCACTGTTGGAAATGCCTTATAATTCATATAGTGCTAACATAAAACCAAACAGTTAAGATTCTTTCCTCTTTTGAAGTATGTATGGGGAATAGGTGAGCCTGGGACATATTCAGATTGTTTAGGATAGGATTTCTGAAATGGGACTGACTGTAAAGGAAATCAGTCCAACAGCACTTTAAAATATGAACATGATTTTGAGATGTTTCCAAAGAGCATTTTTATTAACTCAGTTTAGCACTGCCTCATCTCAGGCTGAGTTCATACAACATGCTGATTCAAAGCCAAAAATCATGGTGTATCAACATGATACGGGAAGCCATTCATTGTGGTTTCTAAATAGAATCAAGATCACACAAAGTATTAGTACAGCTTTATAAAACCCTAGTAAGACCACATCTGGAATACTGCAGCCAATTTTGGTCACCATATCACAAAAAAGATGTTGAGAGTTTGGAAAAAATTCAGAGAAGAGCAACTAAGATGGCCAAAGGCCTGGAAACTAAAACATATGAAGAACGGCTGCAGGACTTGGGTTTGGCTAGTCCAGGGGTAGGCAATCTTGGCTTTTTTATGACTAGTGGACTTCAACTCCCAGAAATCCTGAACCAGGAAAGAAGAAATAGGGGAGACATGATAGCAGTATTCCAGTATTTGAGGGACTGCCACAAAGAAGAGGGAGCCACATTATTCACCAAAGCACCAGAGGGAAGGATGAGAAACAATGGTTGGAAACTGATCAAAGAGAGAAGCAACCCGGAATTAAGGATAAACTTTCTGACAGTGAGGAAAATGAACCGGTGGAACAGCTTGCCTCCAGAAATCATGGGCGCTCCATCACTGGAGGTTTTTAAGAAGAAACTAGACCAGGTCTTCAAACTCGGCCCTTTTATGACTCATGGATTCAACTCCCAGAATGCCTCAGCCAGCATACCTGGCTGAGGAGTTCTGGGAGTTGAAGTCCATGAGTCATAAAAGGGCCGAGTTTGAAGACACCTGGACTAGACAGTCACTTGTCTGAGATGGTATAGGTTCTCCTGCTTGAGCAGGGGGCTGGACTAGAAGACCTCCAAGGTCCCTTCCAGCTCTATTCTATTCTATTCTATTCTATTCTATTCTATTCTATTCTATTCTATTCTATTCTATTCTAAATTGAGTTTGAATAAATAGGGTAAAGTGTGATTATACTATAAACCATGATTAAGGAACATGTATTTTAGCCCATACATAATTTCAGTCATTCAAATATCCAGAAAGGGATTTTTCCTTCTCTTCATTAGAAATCTAATATAAAATTTAATGAATTTCTCTCACATTTTCTCCATTCTTTTTTTTATCCTATCTAATTGCTGACATTTACACTTAATAAAAATAAATTTTTTTAAAAGCATGGGTAGTGTCCTAATCCTTGTTCTTCTGCATTAATCATAATGTACAATGATTTTTTGGACAAATAAATACTGCCAAGCCCCCAAGCTCTCACACTTCAAATTTCAGTTAACAACTTGGTCAAAGTCAAAATTGTCAGTCTAAATCTCTGACCCATCCATTTTCAGTGTGATTCATTTCATTTTTGGACACAAGTGACCTTTTTTCTTTTTCAGTCAGAAAATGAATGCTGATGTGCTTGTCAAAAGGCATTAGCACATTAGAATGAAGCATAAGTAAAAGGAATGGGAAAAAACTGAATACAAGTCTTGCTCGCCCAAATGAACCGTGTTTGCTCAATTATTCCAGTTTCTGAGCTGGTATAATACATGGAATCATTAATGAACCAATTTCTGTGTTTGCGCAACGTGCTAGGCTAAAATAGTCTTCATGCAAAAATAGCCATAAGAAAAATATTATCCACTTCTCAATAGTGAATAATCTCCAAGGATTGCTAGCAGCTCAGAATTCCCTGTCCAAATTCAAAGAGACAACCTGGCAAACAAACACATAGAACTGAACTAGCTTCGGAGGAAAGAAAATCTATTTGCAGTGTTTTCCCCCAAATAAGACCCGGTCTTATGTTTTTTGCCTCCAAAAGAGTTATTAGGTCTTATTTTCAGGGGATGTCTTTTCCACCGTCTTGCCTTGCTGCGGCACCAACAACCCCATCTAGCAGGAGCCTACATGGCTGCCAGCCCACTTCTTCTGTGGCTGCTCGCTCATCGCCCCCAGCCTGTTTCACCAGCAGAGGCCTTTAACTCAGAGCTCAAAATGGAGGCTGGAGGTGATGCACACAAGTGGCAGCAAGCGGCCACAGAAGAAGTGGGCTGATGGTGGACTGCTGGACTAGACTGTTGGTGCTGCTGCCATGAGGCAAGGCAGATGTGGGGGCCTGGGAGGCGTGGGAGGCTGGCTGCAGCAGTCCTGAGGTAAGCGGGTGCGGGGCACGTGGGGCAGCTCCACACCCCCACCCCTGCCCTAGCTTGATTTTTATGCATGCGCCTCACCCCACCTCATGCAACCAGATGGTGGGATGGAGTCGGCGAGGTCTTATTGAGGGCTTATTTGGCAGTAGGGCTTATATTAGACGCATACGTAAAAATCAAGCTAGGGCTTATTTTCAGGGTAGGTTTTATTTTTGGTGAAACACAGTAGTACAATTTTAGTAACAAGTTACAGTTTTAAAAGATAGCCATATGTTATCATCCTTTTGTGGGCTAGGAATTTTGACATGTCATGGACAGAATAGCACACACAATCACTCATTTATCAGGAATCTTCTCTCACCAAAACAGAGGAAGTTCTGTTTTGCAACATGCTAGTTCTCTGTTCATTTTAATTAAAGAAGAAATGAAAATCAAGTGGCTATGGAGAGAGCCAACCTAATGTAGTGGTTAAGGCACCAAACTAGTAACTGGGAGATTGTGAGTTCTAGTCCCGCTTTAGGCACAAAGCCAGCTGGTGATCTTGAGCCAGTCACTCCTGCTCAGCCCAAGGAAGTAGGCAAAAGCAAACCACTTCCAAAACACCTTCCAAGAAAACTGCAAGGTCTAGGCCAGTCTAGTCCACACTGACTCAAAAGCACAATAGTGAAAATAAATAAAGATTGCCAGATGCCAAAAGAAGAGTTATTGTCATATTGATGCGCAGGAATGCTACAATACAGACTTCAGGTTTAACAACAGCACATTAAAAAGGAATCTTTTCTAATATGGGGTTATTTTACTATTGCTGACATCTCCGCCAATGAACATTTATCCTGATTTTTCCAAACTGATACAACTCATACTGGTAATGTAATACTAATTTACTCAAGTTATTTTGGTTCATACAACACAATGAACTACAGACTAATTGCATAACATGCCAGATTAAAATGTGGTTGTGCCTGGAATATCATCAAACACTTCTATTTATGCAGAAATCTGAAAGATTTCAATGGAACTTTTAATCTGATAGTTTACTTACTGCATTGCATTCCAATAAACTGTGGTTAGTTTAACCATGTTTTGCTAAGTAAAACATATGTTTGGTTTCATACATACTAAATCACAAGCCACTGATTACAAGCCATAATGGCTGGTTTCACAGAGGATGCTATGCCAAACCACATTATTGTCTAATGCAATGTTTGAAAGTAGTCAGCAGCTCAACAAAGTTACATCTCAGATCTAGACAGAATCGTAGCTTTCAAGACCTATTTTTATTCATTTCAAACCAAAATCCAGCAGATGACATTCAGTAACATCACAGATTTGAAACTGGCCCTATTTAGCAGAAACATCCACAAGGAAAGTATTGTAGCTCTTGCAGGTGTATCAAACTGACGGCCCATAGGCCGATTGCATCATGCGGAGGCCACGCCCACCCCAGCTCCGGCAATGTGAAAAAAGTCACGCTACGATACATCACGTGATGCGGCGAATTTGACACCCCTGCTCTAGAGCCTTTAAAAAATGCCCCATTAAGAAATCTTGTTAATTGAAAGCCTGAATAAGACCACTACACACAGTACGTGCTAGGGCTTTACTACTGACATAGTTAACTGCTTAGCATTTCGGCTTCTAATGAAAAGATAATTTTAAAACCACTGACAAGTTTCTACCAGCTATAACTGATTAAGATAAAAGAGCTGATGTGTAATAGGTGTGAAGATGAAACACTCTTTCCTTCTCAGTACTGAAGAGCAGCCTGGCTATAAAAGTTTACTATATAAGGAAAACCCCTGTAATGAAAGTTTCATATCAGCTGCAGCAACATTCCACTTTAGCAGGCCAATCCAATAGAAGATAAATATAAAACGAGATAAAAGCACAGCTAAAGCAACAGAAGGGAAATATGCACAACTGAAACACTAGCAAAAATCCATACTAGCATTACCCTAAACCCAATACAAAAGACCATATTGAAAAAGAGCATCTTTTGTCTCTTTGTCGAAACATGAAGAGAGCACGAACAATATTATTAAGAGGGTCATTAAGGTTAACCACTAGCCAGACCTTCCCAGCACTGACTGCTACATGCACACGACCCTTATTTTCTTCCTCGACCATCCGTTCTGTAGTGCATTCTCTAATTCAACCAATTATCTTTCGTCTACCTCCAATTGGACAAGAGAGGGTCACGTGCTTGCGATGCACGCTTCCCCCCCCCCATCGTCGGACGCGTCTGACTTCAGGAGGTGGCTTATAAAAGAAGCGCTCGGGAGCCAGCCGGGAGGTGGGCGTGAGCCAAGAGAAGGGGCGGAGCGAATGCAAACAAACAAAGACGCTGCGTTTGCTTTGACCCGCGACATCATTGAACGCGCCACGTCGGTAATTTAAAAAGGAAGCAGCTGCGCGCGCAAGTCGAGAACCTGAGGGAATTATAAGCGCGCGCGCACACAAACACGCACGGACGGGCTTTCTTTCATCGGGGCGGTAACGAGCGCGTGCATGCGCGCGCGCGCGCCGGTGGCGCTGCTGCTGCTGCTGTTGCTGCTAATATCCGCCTCCCTAAAAGCGAAGGCAGCGGCGCTAAGGGCGACCGGCCTCGGGCAGGGAAACCTCGTTTTTTCTCTGGAAGCCTTAAGTCAACAAATACCCAGACCCCCAACAGAAGGTAAATGCCACCCTTTCTCTTTCTTTCGGGGAAACCGAGAGCGAGGAAACAGGCGGGAAGAAGGGCTCTCCTAGTTCAGCCTTTTTTAAAGGCGAGCAGGCTGCGGCGGCCGCGGCAGCCCGCGCTGTTCGTGCCGCTGTGGAGAGGGAAGGAAAGGGGAAGCGAGTGCGGCGGGACTGCTTTGGGGTTGGGCGTTTGCTTTCCGTTTTGTGGCATTGCAGTTGGGAACGAACGCGGAGCTGGGGGGAAAAAAAATCCCCCCCCTCCGATGGTGGACCTGGAAGAAGCCCGCAGGCAACGAAAGTACTTTGTTGGTGTAACTAATCCCTTAAAGGGACACGGGGTATCGTTTCCCTTTTCCTCCCAATCCATTCTTACCCCGTAATGGCGGCGGAACTTTACGTGGTTCGGATGCCTTTTCTTTTCTGGATACAGATGGCTTTCGCGTTGGGTTCCTTTGGGGGAAAGAGAAGGGAAAGCCTTTTGTGTGGGTTCCATGGCAAGCAGCTCGTTCGGGGGGCTCCGAATGTGTGTGTCCGTAAAGGCAACGCTACTGGCGATCCCTTTGCTGAAAGAGATTTTTCTTGTAAAGGCTGGGAGACATGGGTGTTCTATTGATCGGAGGTAAGAAATAGTGGGAGTAGTGCATTACGCAAAATACGACTTTCCGTGCGAGGAGAAATGTCTCTTTAAGTATCGCTTTGGAGGAGCAAACGATCTGCAAAAAAAGCTTGACTTGGTTATAGAGAACTAGTCCCAAGTGGGGTTGGATTTTTAGCAGACCTCCCACGCCAAATCTCGTTTCCACTTTTAGTATATTAGGACGTTGTAGCAAATTGGCATCAGTTTTCTTCTTTTATTTCCTTAAGTGTGGACAGTGATACCATGTTACTATTTTCTGCCATTAACCTAAGGGAGATAATATTAACTCCTGCAAGAATCTGAGGTGATGGGTAAATTCTTTATGAAGTGTCAACAGATCATATATTTGTTGCTCTCCCTATTCCTTTCTGAATTTCATTGAAAAAGGCTCGCCTTTCTGAACTGTCTTGCTGTATTTTCCATATTAAACTGGATTGATTTAAAGACCTTGTTAGAATAGAATATGGTTGTGCAATATATTTATGGCAGGAATTGTTCAATTTTTTTTATTACTATAGCTGCCTAGATTCAAATAGCTCTAATCTGCCAAAAATATTTCTGACTTGTTAATTTTATATTTTCCAGTTCTTGGAGATCAAATTTGGATAAATATAGTGCTTGAATTGGAACTCCTTGGTTCTGTTATTCTTATTTAAACAAAAAGTAGATCTCTATTAATCTCAGTACAGATTCCTAGGGAAAGCCACTATTTGCATTCTTTCCTTTTTTGTTCTCTAATAGATAACTAATCTATATAATGCCCTTGCTTATTTTATGACTACTAATTATACACTAAAGAATGTTGTCAAGGGATGCTGGACTTTTTTTTGGAAGTCCAATAAAGCATTGTATAAGATTATACCTCTACTTGTGAATTTTTTCAAAAAAATACCAAAGGCTAACAAGACAATGTTTTTCTTTGCAGAAATCATGTTAATTTCTGCTCAGTAAACCTTGCTCCACTAATTTTGGTAGAAAAAGTTAAGATAACCAACCTTTAATTTCCTAAATCCTTCTAGGTTCTACATCAGTGTTAAATATGCCACTTTTTGGTAGAGATTTTGGGCATATATTTTTATTAGGTTTTTTTTTCCTAATTAGAGAATTCTCAGATGAGTGCCATCTAGGTCAAGTATTTATTTTGTGTTCTGCTCAGTTTCTTACTATTATTCAGGCTTCCTTGAAGGTAGCATTTCAAGCATGGATATCTGCCATTTATCCTCAGCAGTGAAGACAGATACAAATCATCCCTGCACTTTCTCTGCAGTCTCTTTATTCTTCTTTAATAAGATTTGAACTCCCTGGTTTTCCAGAGGTTCAGTGGTCTTTCTGACCAGTTTCCTAGTTCTGACATGCAGTATTTAAAGAGCTATTAATATATGCTTCAATATTTTTTAGCTCTTTTACTTTTTCCTTACGTTCTTTTGTGCCATGAAGTAACATTTTCTTCATTCATTTTGTGCAACTTCTAGTTGGAATACCCCCTTCATACTCCTCACTATAAATACTGCAAAACACAGACTTCATTATTATGGCTTGTTTTTTGTATGTGCTGAGACATGTTAGCTAGTGTTACACAGCTGCTTAATGCTGACCTTCAGTAAGTTGAGAACACAAAAATGCTAGAAAAGCGAAAAACGGGGGAAGGCTAGATCAGTGAGTCTCTTGCCATTTAGAAAGAAAGAAGGGATCTGCTAGATGAGGTTCTAATGTTTCACTGAAAAAAATATGAAAGTAGGCAGTTAATCTGAAGTTTGGTATATTGACTACAATCTTGTTTTGTCAAATTTTGTCTGTTTAGGAAATCAGGGTATAATAGATTTGATTGAGCATATAGGAGACATGGTACTAACTGATATCTTGGTATATATAAATTTTTTGCCATAGAATATTTAATGCTACTGTGGTTTTTCTTTCAGAAGTTACTGTTTTGAAACTTCAGAGAATGACAGCATTTATATACTTTTCATGTACTAGAGATTTGTAGTTGAGTTTATTTTGGGTGATTGTTGTTTAGCTCAACCAGTGAATGACAGACACTGCAACCATCATAAATAAAAGACAGGGTTTTTGATCATGTGACTATGGGGATGCTGCAACAGTCATAAGTCACTTTTTTAGTGACTTATGCTGTTGTAAACTTTGGTCACTAAATAAACTGTCTTAAATTGAGGACTGTTTGTCTGGAGGTAACATTTTCTTTCATTTGTTTTGAAAGAAAATACCATCCCTATCACCACTATTGTATTCTAGTTCATTCCAAGTGGGTTTATAACCCATTAATATTGATCTGGTTCAGTGATAATGCTAAACCAAAATGGTGGTGGTTGTGGAATGGGGTAATTCATAAATGCATCTGTAGAAAAAAAAACTATTTTTTTCAGATCACTAAGAATGGGTTTGTATAGCGTGCACAAACACAAATCACAGCAGTCTGGCAATTTTCTGCTTCTGGAATAATTCTCCAGATTTCCAAGTATTTAATAGCATTGTGGAAAACTATATTTTTACTTACAATCATTTTGGGTTTAACTACAGTTCAGTTTATAAGATGTGACTCATATTGTGCCTCAGAATTATAGGATAGATTCATTTAAATGTAATATCCTTTTTTAAATTCATATTTCCTAAGGAATCATGCATATTAGAAAAATTATTAGAAAATTTTGTCATTATAAAATAGGCTTATAAAAGAATCTATATATAGTCAACACTTTAAATTAGAACTATTAGCTGCATTATTTTATATTGAAAATGATCCTCTTAGAAATAAGAAACAGACTGTTATATTCTCACACTCTAACCCCCTCCCCCACTGGGGTATATTTCAGGCTTTTCTTGAGGTTATCCTCAAGTGTTTTGAGCTTTTATCTTGCTTAAAGGCAGGAAAGGGGGGTTTTCAAGACATTTTCAACTTGAAGTATTTTGTCTATTTCTAAATGGTGTTAACAATGTAGTATGCAATATATAAAAGGATTGTTGATTCAAGTAAAAATAAAACCGAGGGCATCAAGCAACAAATATTGTAATCTAAGGTACACCTACTTCTTTAAAAGCCCCTTGAAAGCAACAAGAATCTGTCTTTCTCAATCAGATATTCTCAAGATGCATTCAGAAAATAACTACCCAAATTCCCAAACTGAATTGAATCATAGTCCTAAAACATCTGAAAGTTACCATGTTGAGAGAGGCTACCTTGGCACTTTGCACATGATGAACCTAAATGTTGAATAAAGTATCTCATCATCCTGGATTCAAGTAATAGCAATGAGATTTGCTGCTTCTCTCCCCAAAAGCCACAATCCAAATGAATGGAATTTTTCTGATATATCTTACTGGAAGTAGCACAGCTCAAAACAGGGCACTCTGACTTCTACTTTTCAGTCAGGACAACACATTCTAAGTTCAAACTACTTCCATTGTATCTTCATAATATTTTCCTAAATGTCTTCACAAACATATTTTCAAAAATGACTTAGATGAGGGAATATTGTTTTATGACTGTTTTTAACTTTGTACGCCGCCCTGAGTCCTTTGGGATTGGGCGGCATATAAATATTTGTAAATAAATAAATAAATAAATAAATAAATAAATAGAAGGAGAGAACTCATCAAATTTTCAGATAACACTAAGCTGGCAGGAATAGCCAACATCCCAGAAGAGAAGTTCAGGATCCAAAAAGATCTTGACAGACTTGAACAAAGGGCCCTATCCAACAACATGAAATTTAATGGAGAAACGCAAGGTTTTACACCTAGGCAGGAAAAACTAAAGATACAAGTACAGATTAGGTGAAACCTGGCTTAAAAACAATAACACTGAGAGGGACCTTGGAGTTCTAGTGGATGATCACTTCAACATGAGCCAGCAGTGTGTGGCAGTAGCCAAAAAAAGCTAATGCAATCCTTGGTTGTATAAACAGGGGCATAGAATCAAAAGCATATGAAGTATTAGTACCGCTTTATAAATCCTTAGTAAGACCACATCTGGAATACTGCATCCATTTTTGGTCACATTACAAAAAAGATGTTGAGACTTTGGAAAAAGGGCAAAGAAGAGCAACTAAGATGATTAAGGGCCTGGAGACAAAAACATATGAAGAACGGTTGCAGGAATTGGGTATGGCTAATCTAGAGAAAAGAAGGATCAGGGTGACATGATGGCAGTATTCCAGTATCTCAGGCTACCACAAAGAAGAGGGGGTCAACTTTTTTTCCAAAGCACCAGAAGGCAAGAGAAGAAAAGATGGAAAGAAGCAACCTGGAATTAAGAAGAAACTTCCTAACAGTGAGAAGTTGTAGGTACTTCATCACTGGAGATTTTTTAAAAAAAGAGTGGACAGCCACCTATCTATAAT